CCTGTACTCCCTGCGGTTGGCTTTCCAAGGGTTCTCTAACTGATGTCAGCTAATGATGAAATCCTCCAACCAACCACAGACATAATCCTCACAAAACCAATACTTGAATGCATTTGAATAGTGAATAATTCCTCAAAATGTTCAACCTCGAGTATTCATCATTCAGTGTTGCCTGCTGACCTTCATTCTTTGAGTTCACTGGTTAACCTGGAAGTAGGTGGTCAATCATCCAAGCCATTTGACACGATGTCGTGTTCCGTTGGGTTTCTCATGCAGTCATCAGTCACTAGCTGGTTGAGAAATCATCGGCATTCTAAATTTCTCAACATGAAATATTTCTCGAATATCTGACGGTGAACATTTCTGTCTAGATATGTTTGTCTGAGTAGAAGATATATAGTCTTCGAGTTCGATGATAATCACTTACATTTGCATGTAGCATATTTCAAGTAGTCGTTGTCATGCCTCCGTTTTTGCAAGAAAATACTTAACTCCTCGCATTGATGATTACTTTGATTTGTCAGGTGGTTGCTGACCGCCGTCCTCAAATTTAGCGATCTGATCACTTTTGGCGATAGGTTAAAGTATAATGATTACTTAACTAGTCGGATACTACATAACAGCTATGTTGCATCCTGCTTTTTGGGCAACATGCCCTCTGGTGGAATCGAAATTCGACAAGAAGCCCTCTAATATCAACTCTAACTGTGTACACAAATATGCATGTATCTGCTAGAGCATTTACGAGAGGGAGAGCAGAGAGAATTGTACACCTCTTTCTTCCTGAACATGTACCGAAAAGCCTACGTCTCATGGGAACAAACATTTAGAATAGTGCCTTTGGCATATACCTCGTCGATATGAGTCATTCGGTAGACATCACGAAATCCGTCAAAAAAAATAACAGACAGTATAGTTAAATTGCCTGTGAGTTTGCCAATGCAATCCCTACCAAATAAGTGAAGCTCGATTTCTGTGCTTAGAAAGAAGCAATTATCAATCTTTCTTTTCTTCATTCTCTCTTTCATTTGATCACGTGATCCTTGGCTTTAGCCTCTCACTCTCCATGGTATGGTGTTACTTGACTTGTCTCTTCTTTCTGTGATTTCGGTTGAATTTACCGTGATATCACTAACTTATCAACTAAGCATCATCTCATTCACCTTTCGTCTTTATAAAGTAAATCTTTTGCTATATGTGTAAACCTTGGGCACTGTGGTAGTATGTCATTCCATATTAGTTTGCTTATCAGATGTATCACACACACACAGTGAAACAGTATTATATACTGGATGACAACGTTTCGAACACAATCTATTATTGTTCATGATCATATCAATTATAATCACACGACTTTGAAAATTGAGTTTTGTAGTTTTCTTTGTTCTCTACTATTCATCGTCGTTGGAGTAGTAGAATTTTCCAGATATCCAACTGGACAGGTGTTGAATCATTTCTATTTCACGTATTTCCGTTGAGTTCATTCGATGAACTTCCAATGAGCATCCGTTATCAATCTCTCCCTCCAACCAGCTGTGACATTATATTTTGAAACTGTTATCTTATTCCATCCAGCCGATTGTGTGTTTGTGTGGGCGTGATTGCATGCAGTGAGTGATATAGCTGATTGACTATCCACATCTCTGATTATCTTATTCGGGTCAACTTATTTAGATTTCGCTGCTAGGCTATTATGCTCGGCTAGTGTGATTGACTGCACCTGTTCTATTACTCTGACCCATGTATTTGACCTGACAATCATCACGGGTGTGGTATTCGACAAACTAAGTTGTTTTGTTTTCAAGGCTTCACAGGATTGATCCGTTAACCGACAAAGTGCGTTTCTAATTGAGTTTGTGGGTGGTTTGAATGCCAGTCACTTTTATTCCTGCCTTGTTAAGAATTCTGCGTGAGGTTTCCGAGGCACCTTCCTTGTATGGAATCAATACTCATGATTTAGATTCATTATTGTCGGTGATGCCTTGCACACTTCAGTCGAAAGTATACATTATTATTACCTGTTGAATCTAAGGATCTAGGTGACACTGACGCTGTAGCCTCCAAGCTTTCACACTCCATCTTGTTTGTTCTAATTTTACACTGAAAAATGTTATTATTTTTCCTTTAGTTCATAGAGGAATACAGAAATTCAGCCAAACGGCTCCGTTGTGTTCGGTTCGCTGTCAACTTTTTCACTTGGCTTCACATCTGCCCGAATTCTTTCATCTCCTCTTCACATGACCTCTTCAATGTCACCCTCGCACTGACGACCAATTCGCCACTTCCCATCAGGGATCCACTAGAGAGAGATAGCCTATCATATGATGTCACTTGATGGTGGTTTGTTTTCTCAGAGTATTGGCAGCCAATCCACCTCGATTTCTTCCTGTAGATTTGTTGCACAATCGTTTCCTGCTGAGTTGGTTAGCTCCTAGAGTTTCCTGTTGCTGATCATTTCTGGCCATCTGATCGTGAGTATTTTGTGAAGAGAGCTGTTAAATGAAAGTCTGTCGCATGTTCAAAGTGCACTTCGTGACACGTTGCGGCGTGGCGTGGTGGCAAATCTCTGATTCGTATTGTGAGTAGCACTAAGGTCACGTTGGATTTGAAAATCCGGATCTAATTTTTCATGCTGAGCGCTGTTGATCTGCACATAGACATGAGTGTAATGAAAGCTTGCCTTGCTTCCACGATCCTCGATCAAATGATATCCACATGAGTTCCGTCCAACTGCAGTTGGAACGATGCTTCCCAGGTAGGTAGGTTGTTGGGTAGGTAGGTAGGTAGGTGGAGGAGGTTGCTGCCTTCAGATTCCTCCCACTCATGCTGTTGTTGCTGCTGCTGCTGCTAGACAGTAATCCTCACCACCTCTGTCTTCTATGTGTTCACCTAGAGTACTATCCTTTCTGGATGCTTCTCCTGACAACTTGTTGCTTTTCACTTGCATATCTTCCAGTTTGTGGGAAATCAGACACATTTCATCGGCGAAGTCCAGATCGTCCAGGTTATTGTGTGGGTCTATTGAATGTCTGTCTCCTCGCTACGCGGCCCGCTGTCTGTCGTATTATCCAGTGTACCACAGTCAGGAAAATCACTGGAGATAGTAGACAGCCAGGCAGGCTTGTCTTACTCCCGTCTTGAATTTCGCTGACGTATTTGGTTTGACTGTAACTTAATTTACTGACAATATATCTTTAATTGTGCATTGGGAGCACTGTTTGACTTACTGGTCTACCTGAATTTCCACCTGACAGAATCATTCAAATTTTTTCTGTTTTCTGTCTGTTCAAACATTTAATTATATCACTGAATCCCAAGGATGTACTCACTCATATTAATAATTGGCTTTGCAAATTCCAATGTACATATCTTGGAGACAAAGTAAAAATTTCATAAATGATTGGTTCACACCAGATTGTCGAACTGACCTGTACCACGCCATATACTATCAATTACTACTTTATTTGAGGATCCTAGATGAAGTGAAAATATTATTCAATAAAAAATACCGAGAATTTTACACATTCTCGAAACAATTGGGTTGAAATAAAGCTCCTTTAGGAAGGCCTCATAATTTAGAAAATTTCAAGACTAGTTAACTCAAAACAAGTGATTCAGAGAAGACGGAAAAATATACAAATCGAATAAACAAAACGAAAAACAAATACGGGCAAAAAATGAATGCGGATAGCCATACTCTAACACAGTCGAATTAAGACTATGAAGATTGGAATGATTGAACAAATATTTTCTATATCCAAAGATCTGGATTTTCTATATAGATAGCTGAAAGTTCAACAGACCAGATGAGATGGACACATAACATTTTAGACAGGTTGACTTTCACTGATTGTTGTTATTCCTCTCAAGTTTGACAGAGAGAGTGGCATTGAATAGTAGTGAGTACTGGACAGCTATTCCATCCTCATCTGGGACTTATTGCTGGCACCCACAACCTCCCATCTGTATGGTCAAGCTATGCGAGACCATGAAAGCAGTTTTATTTATCGAATCAACCGGAAATCCGTGTGATAGAAATTATTCTCCACCTGTCCACTTAAACTTCTGGAAATTTCTACCACCCACCGCTCTACTGAGAATAAGCAGGAATATGGAAAACTGTAAAATGCAAGTTTTGAAGTTGTGTGATTAATACAGTTGATATGATTATGAATAATGATAAAGTGTGTTCGAATTTTGGCAATTCAGTGAACATTGATACTGTTTTACTGTGTGTGTGTGTGTGTGATATACCTAATTAGCCAATGAACATGTAATTACATACTACCGCAGCACTCATGTTGCACACATATATATATTTATATTGTCTGCGACTGTACAGCATGGGAATAAATTCTTTGAGAAACGACTCTTCAAGGAATCCCTTGTTTTGCTTTGCTTATGCTTAACTCCTTTTTGAAATCATGAGGCTTGTTTATCCGAAAAGAAGAAAATTATCGCAGACGAGAGACTCTTAGCACACGCATATTTGTTCCAATATCAGAACGTGTGTTGATATTCTCTGAAGGCTTGTCAAATGCATTCAAGGCAAAATTAATATAATCTATTACATCTTTAGAATATTTTATTAAATTTCAATCCAGGAATTTCGTGAATACTTTTCATTTTGTTCATTAATTATTATTATTATTATTATCAGAGAGTTAAGCGTAAATAACAAAAGTTTCAATAAGTTATTTCGGTATTCTGGAGTACTGATTAAAAATTTCTGCTCAACTGTTAAAAGGTATCAGCTACTTGTGGTATCAAATGAATGTGAATCAGTTCTGACATAATTAACTTTCAGTACTGTAAGGAATATACAAAATAATACAATACAAATAGTGGTAGAAATAAGAGTGGCCACTGTACTTGATACTATCACAGATGATAACCATAAAGACTGTAGATTTTCATTTTGATTATTTGAAAATATAACCGTTGCATTTTGTATTCTATTAATATGATTGCTATTTGAATGAACATGGGAAATTGGGAAATCACTTGGACTTTCTTCTGCTTTGACATTTACGTTGGAAGTTCTTGAAGACATCGGGAGATGATGGATAAGTTATACTAGACGTTTGTGTAGACATCGGGAGATGGGATGGATAATTGTGTGGTTTATGCGTATGACTTCGATTCGCGCTTTCTTCGTTGAAATTTACTTTAGACGTTTGTGTAGACATCGGGAGATGGGATGGATAATTGTGTGGTTTATGCGTATGACTTCGATTCGCGCTTTCTTCGTTGAAATTTACTTTAGACGTTTGTGTAGACATCGGGAGATGGGATGGATAATTGTGTGGTTTATGCGTATGACTTCGATTCGCGCTTTCTTCGTTGAAATTTACTTTAGACGTTTGTGTAGACATCGGGAGATGGGATGGATAATTGTGTGGTTTATGCGTATGACTTCGATTCGCGCTTTCTTCGTTGAAATTTACTTTAGACGTTTGTGTAGACATCGGGAGATGGGATGGATAATTGTGTGGTTTATGCGTACGACTTCGATTCGCGCTTTCTTCGTTGACGTTTACGTTAGACGTTTGTGTAGACATCGGGTGATGGGATGGATAATTGTGTGATTTATGCGTACGACTTCGATTCCATTTCATATTTGTGTTATTCTAAAAACATTTTCACAGAAACTCGATGTTCAGTTTGACCAATGTTCACTCAAAAGATATATTAATATAGACCAAACTAGATCAACTATTATTGAACATATCGCATAACAAAGTAGTTAAGTTCTAGGTCAATGAAACAGTTGACACTAAGAAAGAATTCGAAAAAGGCATTTCATATGAAAATAAGTGATGAAGACGTTGTCTGGGAAGGCAAAGAAACTTTCATATTTTAACCACCTAGTTCAGAGAATACAACCATATCAGAAATATCCACCTGATATACAGAACTTCACCAGTACCTGCTTTTCTATGGTGGATATGTCACACAGACAATTGTTCTCAGGGTGATAAATAGTGGAACGATGCTCATAGTTCTAGGAGAAAATAATGCTAATATAACAATAAGTGTAATGGAAGTTGAAAGAGAAAACACAAGAAGAGATACGCCAAACAATCCTATCGATGGTTAGACAGGAAGAACAACACACAACTCAGCTCTCAGGATACTGCAACGTAGGAGATACACTGTCATGCTTACAAAAGAAAGAACTTCAGTTCTCATGGAGAGAAGAGAACACACCAAGAAATCTGAAGAGCTACTCAAGGGTTGTGATGTATACCGATAGATCACAAGAAACCATCCAACATTAGACAACCACATCCAAAAAGCCTTAACAACCTCAGCAAACAGGTCAGATCACAAAGAAAATCAGTGGCGAATAGAATCAGTGACATTCTATCTCATTTATGGCAGACGTAAAGAACACAAACCAAACATCCCATTACAACTAATTTTATCTTTCTCATGGACCTCAACAGTAAATTGAATCACGTAACAGAATCCTGCGATCAATCTATCGAATCTCCAATCGAATTTCTACAGAAAACCAAAGGCATTCAAATACATGACCAAGGAATAATGATATCCTTCAATGTCATTGCATGATATACCTCAATTGAAGGAATCTAGGAAACGAAAACATGGAGCGATTGCTCAACAATGACGAACAGCTTCCAAAACACTCAAAAATGCAACAAACAAGTTGAATGGAATGCATTAACCTATGTGTGACAACATAATTCCAATTCAACGATCAAATATATGGGCAAATTAAAGGGACACCCATGGAATCGCTCATATCACGCTTGAATGCAGAAGCAGTAATGCAAAGACTTGAAAAAGTAAGCCTACCGAAGATCCGACCAGTCTTTTGTATACGTTACGTGGATGCTACTTTTGTGATAATCAAAAGAAACGAGTTGGAGAAAACTCACAACCTAATAGACGACATATTCAACGATATCGAATTCACAAGTGATGAGAGTTCCAGAACAAGATCCTATTTTAGGATTCCTTAGTCATACGAACAACGAGAGGAAAATTAGAAACTCACATAGATCAAATACTCAATTACAACAGTAGCAAACTAATAAATGACACAAAAAAGAGTTGCATACAAACATCACTCAATAGAGCCAGAGCTCATTGCAGCAATCCTGTCTTACGAAGAATTGAAGAAAAAGATCACATAGATGTCTTTCAAAAATGAACATTCATGGAATTTCATCAAAAGATATCCATCCTGAAGCTAGCCAGCCAACCAACCGAAGGTCCCCGAGGAAAGCACAAAGAAAATCGACCTACCACATATAAAAGACATCTCAGAAATCACTGCAAGACTCTTCCAACTTTTAGGATTTGATGTCGCACACACACCAAGAAAATTCCTTCACTCGGCTGGCTCTATACCAACCAAAACACTGAACAGCGAAAGAAGATAAAACCAAAATCATCTGCAAAATAAATTGTAGCGACTGAGAACAACACTACATTAGCCGTAGTGGACGCCCTCTCCGTCTTCGCATCCACGAACATAATCTAGCCGTCAAATGATATGATGATATCCACTGCCTCATATCGCTGCATACAGACAACAACGGATATCAATTCGACTCAGACAACCAACGTTCACATATTAGACAGAGGAAATGCCAAGAATGCTGGAGAAATTTTAGAAGCCCGTCTGGTATTCCAGTGAGTCAGCAATTAACAGACACACTGAAATAGATAAAATTCACCAATCCATAAGAAGAAAATCTCACGCACAAAAAGTCAAACTACAGCACAAGGGAGCAATCAACGCTAATATCACCAGTTGACTAGAGTGTGTGAAGACAGACAAGAGTGACCAATCACGTCTCAGTTCACCAGGAGAGAGGACTAATAAACTCGTGTAGAAATCTAAAAGCTCACTTCAAGAAATTGAAATATGCTCTGAATCTACTGTCTAGTTGTGATGCGATGCAGACTTTGCAATTAAACTGTCCAGCTCAGATAACAACGAGTGTAGCTTACATGGAATCAGGTTTTCTGTTGGTGAAGTTATTCATAAAATCAATCGAAAAGTTATATTACCATCCAATTTGCAATGAAGTCAAAATGCACTAGTATGTGTGAAGTGGAAACTGAAGTTTGTTGGTTTCTAATTTTGGATGCAAAATAAAAATTGTCCAAGAATATGAATCCTTCGGTTCAACCCTATTCTATTTTTCATCTCTGACTCATCTACACATTATATTTGATATTAATATTATTCATTTTTTCCTTTCTGAGTGGAACAAAAGACATCAACAGCCTGTCTGCCTTCTACTCTATCGTATGACTTCGCTTTCAGCTACCTACATAATTAATCACAATGGTTTTATTTCTTCCTCTTCACATCACCAACAAACAAACTACAGACCTTCATTAAAACCTGCCTTCTCTCAGTACTTCGCTCAAGATCAGTTGGCCGACCACAAAAGATCAGCAATAGTGAGGTAACTCTGGGAGCGAACCAGCCCAACAGGACCCAACTATGCAACAAACCTGCAGGAAGAAGTAAAGGTAGATTGGCTGGCCATTCTCTGAGAAAACAAACCACCATCAAGTGACATCACACGATAGACTGTATCTCTTGAGTGGAACATAAGTGGGAAATGGCGAGTTGGTTGTCAGTGCAAGGGTGACATGGAGGACGTCATTTGAAGGGGATATGAAAGCATTCGGGTAGACGTGGAGCCAGGTGAATACGCTGGCAGAGAACCAAACGCGATGGAGACGTTCGTCTGAAGTTCTATGTTCCTCTATGAACTAAAGGAAACAATAATAATAATATTCACATCATTTCCGTTATATCAACTTCGAATTTCCAGCACATCATTACCTATTCAGGTTCCATCTGAGGGCCAATCTATCTAAGTTATTCTCTTAGCAGTTTTTCTAACAATAGGTTTTCATTAATTCTCTGCGATTGCACCGTGTCGCCCTTTTTCCGGCCGGTTAACTCATATTTGGAGTCAAGTAAAAGCAGATACTGGCCGAAGTCCACAGTTGATGCTTTTCTTTAAACCACACCTTACCAACTGTTTGTCATTGCTAGAATCAGATTGTATTCCTCACAGAACGTTTAATGTAGGTGATTAAACTTTAAGCGAATCATATCGCTACAAACAAACGCTTAAAACTTATCGAATATACACATTAGATCATTGGAAAGAGCAAAGGGATGATTGCAGCAAAAGGAAATTTTCCATTTGACTAGGTGTTTAATTATGTTGTAAATTTATATGCATGTATATATAGTGAATAGTTGAGAAATTTCTGGAACTACTTCTTGTTGAAAATTCATCTGATATTGTTTGGTGAACGACTACAGTACGAATTCATCTCAAATCGAATGTGATTTTGTGATCAATGCAGTACACCAGCTTGAGTAATAGGACAGATACTCTGCGAAGATACTAGCTAGTGATGCAGCTAACAATCACTAACTGACTGAAGTTAGAATGCATGCGTCAATAGATCAAGTCCCAATGGCTGAAAGACTACCGTGATTAGCTCATAATCTGAAGGTTCTGGGTTCCATATCTTCTCCTGGAAAGTCCCGAACTAAGAAGAAGAAATAGTCCAGTACTCCCTGGTTCTCAGCTTTTCTCCAACTAATATTCACCCATGCTCAAACTTTAGAAACAATTCAAAACCCAAAAGAATAACACTTAAAAATGGACATTTAATATCAATAAGTTTCGACAAAGCGATTTTGTCGTCCTACAAAATAATACTAATGAAAAAATAGCTTCAATCACAAAAAGTATTTCTTTAAGAATCCATAAAAAGTAAGCTGTGAATGTGTTCACTCAAAGTTTAAAAAATAGATCATTTTAGGTATTATATAGAATCGAAAAATTCAATTACATACATGAGTAAAACAATTCGTCTTCATCCAATCCAATAAGATGGCATCATTGTTATCAAAGCAATTCCCTTTAAGTGTGGTTGCTTCACTGCATACCTTATATGATGCATATTCACTGCAACCTGTATTGTTAGTAAGAAATAATCATGAAATTCAATCTGTTTTCAAGCGTATATATATAGACATATATAATCAAAGATTTTGTATTTACCAATGAATGAAAGCTAAAACGATATTGTTACTTTTACTGACGCTTCTCTACTGGTAGCTTTATCAGAAAGTAGTAATATGAAACCAGAATTTACAAAGTCTCAGCATGTGTATATATATGTATAACAACCCAAGAAAAATAACTATCCAAGAACTTCACCAACAAAAGCAACACTGGCATTAAATATGGTCAAAAACGTATTCCGAAAATATGGACCTAAACAGCTGTAATTGCACATTGAGCAAAGACGTCAGACGATATCAGAAGAGTACTCAATAAGCCTGACTTGTGACACACTGCGAAACTAACTTGTCCATGTAGAAAGACCAAATCCCTAGAGATTCTGTGTGTAATTGCGCCTATAAAAACAAAATGTGATGTGATAAACATCGGGAAAAAAAATCACCAGAGAGAAATTAAAATCAGAAGAAATGAACAGCGTACAGAAGCCTCTTTTCTACCACCGAGAAACCCAGTTGAACTAGAAAAGCTTGAAAACTTAACAGCCATAGGTCGTCTACACGCTATGCTTTAGAATC